ACCTGTGGGGGACTCCCTGACCGTCTGGGGATGGGGCCCACAGGGGACCCATGTACTCGAGAGGATGGGATACGGATACGTGAGCCCCGCCTGCAGGAGGGAGGCCTAAGTGCTGCTCTGCACCGTCAGGGAGCTCTGGAGAGACGGGGCCTTTGGACAGCAGGAGGAGGGAGGTGGCCGAGGTTAACGTCTGCAGGGACAAAGTATCCAGAGCTACGGAGGCCTGGTTGGGTGACCCCCAGGGAAGATTCCCATCCAGAGACAAGTGGGCTTGATCTGGCTCTTGGGAGCAGATTTCTCCGTTATCTCTGAGAAATGTAAACAGTCCCCGGGAGCCGAGCCAGATTCTCATCCTGACCCACCGCGGCGGCCAGGCTGCCTGAGAGGGTCACGGTTCCGCAGGAAAAGCCTGCGCCCAGCGGCGTGGTTCTGTGCTTTCAAGAAAAAAACAGGGAAGGAGAGAAAGAGGGAGGGAAGGAAGCCAGAGAAGGGCTGCAGGCAGAAGTACCGACTGCTTTCTCCCGAGTTTTCGGGGCTTATTTGCGAGGCGGGTGTAAACATGATTTCTAGTTGAAAATGGTTCAAATTTACAATCGACTTGAAACAGGTAAGTTAGTATAATATTATCACTTATTCTATAACCGAGAGTAATTACTGGATTTTAGCACTTAAAAAAAAAAAAAGGCCTTAACAATTCAGGACAAAAAACAAAAAGTCAGTGCCCTAGGTCAGTTGTGAGACCAGAGGATGGACAGGTAGGTTCCCCGTCTGCTGGCTCCATGCAGCCTGGAAAGCACAGCTCTGGGGAGACAGGTGGACCCCGCATGCCCCCTAACTGTGTGATCTCGGGCAAATAAATGCCCTTGTTCCCGGCCCTGTGTCTTGAGCTCCAACTGGAGTACTAGTGCCCTGCAGGGCGGGCTGGTTGTGAGGACTGAGCTGTCCTCACCGTCACCTGGGTGCTCAGGCGCTGGGCCTTCACCCCCCTGGCATTCAGCCTGGGTCCAGGGGGTGCAACTCTCGACGCGGTGCATGATCCGTTCAACAGCTGTCTCAGGCCTGGGGTCAAGAGGCGTTGGAGTAGCCAGGGGCATCTTTGGGATATGGCTATGGGGTTCCCGCGTGAGCACTCTTGCCGTTTGGAGCCTGGTTATTGTCGTGGTGGGAACTGTGCAGTCCACTGTGGGATGTTTAGCTGCATCCCTGCCCCTGCCCCCAGAAGCCAGTGCCCTGCGCCCCCAGGCCCACAGTGTGACAGTATGTCCAGAGCATCACCACATGGCCCTGAGCAGAGAGTGAGGCTAAGGGTGAAGTGCAGTTGGGGCTGTACTCCTTACGATTTAGGTGCGTTAAGCTGTTCTGACACCAGCTCCAACACCGGTGAACCTTGACACGTTATGCTCGGTGAAATAAGCCGGTCACGAAAAGACAAATCCTGTTGGATTCCAATCACATGAGATACTCAGCGTGGTCAAAATCACAGGAAGTCAAGTAGCTGTGGCCAGGGGCTGCGGTGGGGGCGTAGTGGGGAGTTGGTGTGGGGACAGAGGTTCAGTCACACAAGGTGGAGAGAGTCATGCAGATGGACGTTGGGGCCATGCGACATTAGGAATGTACTTGCTACACTGAACTCCACACTCAGAAGTGATTATGATGGTAAATTAGATGGTACGTGTATTTTATCACAATAAAAAAAAACAAACCCTTAAATCGGTTGGGTATGTTTGTGTGGGTTTTCTGGTCCATCCCACTGTGTAAAAGCCTTGAAACTGGGCAGACTGATTCCTCCTACATTATTCTTCATTTCAGAATTGTTTTTAGCTGTTCTGCTTCCTTTGTCTTTTTCATATGAATTTTATTTATTTATTTTTTAAAGATTTTATTTATTTATTCATGAGACACACACAGAGAGAGAGAGAGAGAGAGAGAGAGAGGCAGAGGCAGAGGGAGAAGCAGGCTCCATGCAGGGAGCCCGACGTGGGACTCGATCCCGAGACTCCAGGATCACACCTTGGGCTGAAGGCGGCGCTAAACCCCTGAGCCACCTGGGCTGCCCTTCATATGAATTTTAAATGATCCTGTCTCTAGCTATATAAAATTTCTCACTGGGATTTTAATAGGAGGGGTGTTGAGCTTGTGGATCACTCTGGGGGGAATGGGTGTCTTCCCTACGCTGAGCCTTCCTGTTGGGGAGCGCGACGTGTCTCTCGGTTCCTGAGAGCTGCTGTGACTGTCTTGGTCGGCATTTGGTGTTTCAGCACTTAGATCCTGACATGTTTTGTTAGATTTACCCCGAGGCACTTCATTTCTTTGAGTGATTGTAAATGATTTTTTTAAAAAGATTTTTATTTATTTATTCATGAGAGACACAGGGAGGGAGGCAGAGACACAGGCAGAGGGAGAAGCAGGCTCCACGCAGGGAGCCCGACACGGGACTCGATCCCGGGACCCCAGGATCAGGCCCTGGGCTGAAGGCGGCGCTAAACCGCTGAGCCACCCGGGCTGCCTGATCGTAAATGATTTTTCATTACAGAGCCGACGTGTTCATGAAGCTCATAGAACTACGCTTGTTTCTGTACGTTCGTGCTGTGCTCTGAGCCTCACCGAGCTCCTACTTGGTTCTGGTTTGTGTAGACTCTTTGGGACTCTCAAGCAGGCGGTTACGTCACCTGCAACAAAGGGCTGTTCTGTGTTTTTCAGACCCGTGTGCCTTTTGTCCCTTCCCGTGTTCTTTGTGCCGGCTGGGACTCCCAGCACTGCGTTAAGTAAGTGGTCCCAGTGGATGTCCTGGCCCAGTCCTGATATTAGGGGGTAGACGTTCAGTCCACCCTCAGGATGACATCATTGTACGTTTCTTTTTAAAGATTTATTTATTTTTATTTATTTATGATAGACATAGAGGGGGAGGGGGAGAGAGAGAGAGAGAGAGAGAGAGAGAGAGAGAGAGAGAGAGAGAGAGGCAGAGACACAGGAGGAGGGAGAAGCAGGCTCCATGCTGGGAGCCCGACGCAGGACTCGATCCCGGGACTCCAAGATCGTGAGCCACCCAGGGATCCCCACATCACTGTATTTTTTTTGTTTTAAGATTTTCTTTATTCATGAGAGACACAGAGACACAGGCAGAGGGAGAAGCAGGCTCCATGCAGGGAGCCCGATGTGGGACTTGATCCTAGGACCCTCGGATCACGACCTGAGCCAAAGGCAGACGCTCAACAATTGAGCCACTCAGGCATCCCTCATTGTATGTTTTTAACAGAGATGCTCTTCATCAAGCTGGGGGAGTGCCCCATCCCTATTTTCCAGAGAGGGTTTTTTTTTTTTTTTATCATGAAGCGGTGTTGAATTTTGTCAAATGCTTTTTCTGTACCTATTGATACGATCATATGATTTTTTTTGTGTGTGTTAACAAGGAAGTTGATTGCATTGGTCAACTTTTGAATATTGACCCAGCCTTGCATCCCCCAAATAGTCCATTTGCTTATAATTTATAACTTTTTATATATTGCTCAATTCTATTGCTAACATTATAAAGATTTTTGCATCTACGCTCATGAGGGTTATTGGTCTATAATTTTTTTTTCTTGTACTGTCTCTGGTTTTGGTACTGGGGTAATACCAACTTCATAAAGTGAGTTGGTAAATGTCCCTCCCTCTTCTTTCTCCTGGAAGAGGTGTGTAAAAAACTGGTGTTAATTTTTCTTTAAAAGTTTGGTAGCATTCTCTTGTGAGATCGTCTGGCCTGAAGTTTCCTTCCTAAGAGTTTTTAGGTTACACATCCAATCCCCTTAATTGTTACGAGGCTATGTCCTCTGTTTCATGTTGGGTCCATTGTGGTGGGTTGTGTTTTCCTCAGGAAGTGGCTCATTGGGTCTAAGTTTCAGATTTATTTATGCTATTAGGTGTTTTTTTTTTTTAATTTTTAATTTTTTTTTAGATTTTATTTATTTATTTGAGAGAGACAGAGCCCTAACAGGGTGAACAGCAGGCAGAGGCAGAAGAAGGAGACGCCTCACTGAGCAGGATGTGGGACACGGGACTCGATCCCAGGACCCCAGGATCATGACCAGAGCCGAAGGCAGACGCTTCACCGACTGAACCCCTCCAGGCGCCCCTATGAGGTGGTTTTAATTTTAAAAAAATCCACTCTTTTCCATGGGTTTTGTGACGTGTGTGGGGTCTGACAGTTTTTACAAAATTTGTCATCTGTCGTGACTCGTGTTTTCAGCCTAAATAAAAATGCTGCTTTGAATGTAGCTTTTTATGATCATCATCATATGTGTGCATCTTTCTTAAAGAGGCCCCTCCCCTGGGCAGCCCGGGTGGCTCAGCGGTTTAGCGCCGCCTTCAGCCCAGGGCGTGATCCTGGGGTCCTGGGATCGAGTCCTGCATCGGGCTCCCTGCATGGAGCCTGCTTCTCCCTCCTCCTGTGTCTCTGCCTCTCTCTATCTCTGTGTTTCTAATGAATAAATAAATAAAATCTAAAAAAAAATAGGCCCCCTCCCCTTCTCGGGCAGGAGCCAGGCTACAGAGAAGCCAGATCCACCCACCACAGAGACGCTGTGTTGACCCAAAACCCTGGGGGTGCAGTGAGTTTGGGCGTCGCGTGGGCTCGATCTCGACAGGTGGGGGACGAGAAGCAAACACCTTGAACTGGAACCCCGCACGGGGCGCGTGGAGGGGAGCGTGTGAGCCACAGGTGTTTCTGTCTGAAGTGACACGGGGTGGTGATGACCGCTCCTCCCGCTTTCCTCAATTCCCACCATCCTCATGCTTATTTTCTCAGAAGGAGAAGAGCAGAGCAGAACAGCCACAGCAGGGTCGGGATGGGGTGCTCGGGGTGAAGAGTTGCAAGGGCGTCCCGGCTGCTTCAGGGTTCCCACACCCCCCGCCGCCCTCCCGCAGGCCCGGGGATGTATTTCAAACAGGAAGCGCTTTGCAGATAACGCAGCAGACGCCAGGCTGATTTGCTGGGCAGCCTGACAGCCCAGGCCACGCTCGCCGCCCGTGGGGCTCGGCGGCCTCCCTAAATAGCAGCCATGCGGCTCCGGGGCGCAGTGTCCCCGTGGGTCCCCGACGGTCAGGACGCCCCCTCCGCCTGGTGTGCGCTGCAGGTAGGGACGCTCAGCCCGGTGCCCTGGCCGCCTCGGGGAGCAGGGGGGCCCCGCCAGTCTGAGGGGATACGATGGGCCGGGAGGTTCCAGACGCGGCCAGGGCGAGGACTCAGGTGGAGGGCGCACGTGGGGTCTGTTCTCGGGTCCCCCCGGAGGGTGCAATCGGCCGAAGGAACCTGGCACTAGACTTCCGAGGTCTGATCAGTTCAGGAGCTCCGGGTGGGAACTTCCCGGGCTGACGCAGGCCGGCGTGAGGGCTGCACGTTACCCGACGGCCCGGGGAGGGCTCCGAGGGGGCGCAGCATTTGCCCAAACCCCCGTGTGAAAGGTGTGAAGGTGGCCGTGCGGCTCGTCCCCGGGCAGCAGGAGCGGGCTGTGCCTGCCACCTGTGTGTGGGGCCGCGTGGACCGCGTGATGGGGACCCGAGGCCGGACCTCCTTCGGGCTCAGCTCAGCGGCAGGGCGGGCCACGTGTGCGGCTCGGCAGTCCCCGAGGCCAGAGCCGGTGGACGGGTCCCTTCCTCCCAGCCCAGCGGGCGCTCACAACTGGCCCTCGCTCCAGCCCCGAAGGAGGGGACTTAGGAATTTAAAAGCGCCCACGGGGAAGGCCCCGCGCGGCCCCCACCGGACTTCCCATCTGCTGGGACACGATCCCTGCTGGCAGAGCCGAGCTGGGGCCTTCCCTGCGGGTCCAGCTCATCCACGGGCTTGAGAAACCTGGCTGCCCCCTGAGAGGACGGGCAGTTTGCGGGAAGCTCCCTCTAGGGAAAGGCCTCTTCCTCCTTTGTGTGGGCCGTCCGGGTGCGCCCTGGGGAGAGCCCTTGTCACCGGGAAGGGAGCACCTGGGCGGGCGGGCGGCCGCTGGCGGAGCTCCCTGGGGCTTCCAGCTCGGCGCTCCTGCTCTCCGGTTCTCCGGTTCTCCGGCTGTAAGTGCTGGGCCCTGCCGCAGGTGCTCAGTGAAAACCTATGATTATAAGTTTGGCAAATTAAGCCACATTCCCTTCCTTTCTTTTCTTTTCTTTCTTTCTTTCTTTCTTTCTTTCTTTCTTTCTTTCTTTCTTTCTTTCTTTCTTTCTTTCTTTCTTTCTTTTCTTTCTTTCTTTCTTTTCTTTCTTTTCTTTCTTTCTTTCTTTCTTTCTCTTTCTTTCTTTTTCTTTCTTTCTTTCTTTCTTTCTTTCTTTCTTTCTTTCTTTCTTTTCTTCCTTTCTTCCTTTCTTCTTCTTTCTTTCAAAAGATTTTCTTTATTAATCACAAGAGGCAGAGAGGCAGAGACACAGGCAGAGGGAGAAGCAGCACCCACCCCCACCCCCCCCTCCCCCCGCCGCAGGGAGCCGGATGTGGGACTCAGGGTCCTGGGATCATGACGTGAGCTGAAGGCAGATGCTCAACCCCTGAGCCACCCAGGTGCCCCAAGCCAGATTATTTTTATTTTTTATTTATTTTTTTCAAGCCACATTATTTTTAATTGTCTACTTCATTTTCTCTTTCTCTCTCTCTTTTTAAAGATTTTATTTATTTGAGAGACAGAGAGTATTTCATTCTTATGATGAGCTTCTACTAATTTTTCCAAACTGAATTTCCCCTGGGAAATTCTGGCTTCCTGCGCTGGAGGGAGGGTGGGAACCTCTTGGTCTCTGGCTGGGAGATGGAGATAGGGTTCTTACAGAGGACCTGGAGGGGCTGTAGCTTCTCCGTTTACAAGCGGACTTCCTCTCCCTGGAGGACAGAGAAGAGCCAGGACTCCAGGCAGGGGCTCCCCCCAGGCCTGGCCTGCGCTCACCAGGAGATGCGGGGATGGTGAGCGGCCCTGGCCGCAGGGAGGGGTTCGCCCCTCGCCGCACCCCTTCTAGCTGCAAACTCCCATGTCAGCTTTTGACACCAGAGATGTTTAAAAAATCCAAGCCCCATTTGCATCCACAAATACCAAGAAGCAAGAATCCACAGGCTTGAGCTCAAATGTAGGTGGATCAAATGTTTATTGTGACTTTTAAAAAACTGAGATGCAATTTTTAAAAAAGACTTTATTTATTTATTCATGAGACACACAGAGGGAGGCAGAGACACAGGCAGAGGGAGAAGCAGGCCCCATGCGGGGTGTCCGATGCGGAACTCGATCCCGGGATCCCGGGGTCGCAGCCTGAGCTGAAGGCAGATGCTCAACTTCTGAGCCACCCAGGCGTCCCAAAACTGAGATACAATTGACCTACATTATATTATCATTACTGTAAAGAGCTACATTCTGAAAAGAACCCAAACGTTTGCTTCTCAGGCCGCAGCTAAGTTCCCTACAGTTAGAACACACTAGCCGAGAGGCCTGGCCGCTCCTCTGTCCGGAGACCGTTAGGAATTCCAGGACCCCGGTGGATGGCAGGGCCGTGAGCCACACCAGCTGGGGTCCCAGGCACTGGCCCCAGGAGTCCCGCATGGGCCTTAGGCATGAAGAGCCCTCACGGAACATGAAAACCCGTAGCTGGAGAACATGATGCTCCAGGTGTGGCTGGTGTGAACTCCTGCTCACCCACCCATTCCAGCACCCTGCGGGGCCCCCGGCGCTTTCCCAGCTGCAGGTGCGCTCACATGTCACCTGCTTCCACAGCAAGTTGCCAGCACGGGACACAAAGCCCAGCGACCGGGGAAGGTCAAAAGGGCCAAAGCTCATCCCTTTTTCTCTCTCCATGGCGAGGCTCACTGGTGCGGGTGCAGGTGCGGGTGGGCCGAGTGCTGGCATCCGGGTCCAGCCTCCAGCCACCGTTCCAGTGAGAAGCCCGGCCCTCGAGGCAGTTTCGGGAATGAGAGGAGATCCACGTGTCCATGTTTGGTAGGAAATAGCGGCTCCTTTCTCTATCAAGTGTGAACAAACACAGTGTAAAATCCCACTGCCTTCATGACGTGAGGAGGTGCTCAGTGCTCGGTGCTCGTGCTCGGTGCTCCAGTGGCTGGCAGGAGCCAAAGGGAGAGGTGAGGTGCGTCAGGGGGCCCAGGCCCAACCCCACCTTCCCACCTACCAGTGGGGTAATGCTGTTTCCCTCATCTTTGGTCCCCTGACCTGTGAGATGGGAGTGATGTGCTGACCTTTGATCATCAAAGTCTCAGGTGCTGGGTCTCTGGGGGCTGCCACCCATCCCCGGGGTGACTGTGTCCTGTGAGGAGCTGTGTCCTCCTGAGCCTTCTGGCTCTGTCCCCGTTGCACTCCCACTGGGGACTGGTGCTCAATGACAGGATGGACGAGCCAGGGCTGTACGTGGCGACACGGGTGAGCCCCGCAGCGTAACCCTGAGGGAAGCAGGTGGGGCTCAGCACGGGGCGCGCAGGCCCGGTGCCTTGGGAAGCTCGAGGCCAAGCACGCTGCACACCGTTCTGTTACGGACACACCTGCGCGCAGTCCTGCTCGGAAGCTGCGGGAGACACGCGATCGCGGAGCACGGCTCCCGGGGCCGCGGGGGCCTGGCCTGTGCTGGGGAGCTGGGCGGCTCTCCCGTCTGTTCTGGGCGCAGGGTCATAGCTTCCACAGGCCCACACGCGGGCCTTCGTGCGTGCTGAGTATCAGCCACAGGGCAGCAGGGGCAAGGGTTGGTGGCTGCCATAAGGATGGAGGCCCCAGGGTGGTGGCAGGGCAGGGCAGGGGAGGTGAAGGCGGGCCCACGAGGGACAGACAGGCCCTGACAGCTGCCCATGCCCTGGCCCCTGTTTTTAAGCTCCCGCCACTGTGTCCCCTTCCTTCATGCAGGAGCCACTGTCCCGCAGGTGCTCGTGATGAAGAGGGACCTGGCTCTGATGGGCCTGGCCTTCCTGTGGCTGCTTCCACTGGGACGTCCTCAGCAGACGGCGGAAGACGCTTGCTCCCTGCACATTCTCGTCCCGGGACTCAAAGGTAACCTGGACCAGGCCTCCCGAGGGTGTCTGAGGCCCGAGTGCTGGTGCGGCTGAAAGCTCGGGGTCTGAGCGCCGCGTGCCTCAGTTTCCCCATCTGCAAAATTAAGGCCGCACTATGTAATGTCTACACTCCCTTTGGCCAAGGGGTTCTGTAATTCTGAAGCTAGCCGCTTGTCTGTGCCTCAGCCCACAGGGACCCCATAAGGGCCACTGACGTTTGTTCCAAGCACCGCACACGCCGCCTCAAATGACTTTCAGAATGAGACGATCTCATCTGGCGCATTTTGCAGAGAAGGACATTTAGCGGTTTGCCAAATTGGGTCACAGAGCTGTGAAGTCAGGGCTCCTACGCTCGTTCCTGAGAGCTCTTAATTCTTTCTTTAAAAAACAAACAAAAAAACCCAAAAGCTGTCTGTGGTTGGTTTGCCTCTGATTTACCTCCAGGTGGAGCTTGCTCTGCAGACCAGACGTGGGGTGGGCACCAGCTGGCGGGCAAGTAGCACCCCGCATCTCCCCGGGTTTCTCCGCAGCGCACCCAAGAGATTCCAAACCTTGTGATTCCCAAGCAGGACCAGCTCCACAAGTCCAGGGGCCCAGGTCAAGATCAAAGTGTGGGCCTGTGTTCAAAAGGGATTTAAAAAGCCTTGAGACAGGGACAGGGCAGGTGCCCCACGGGGGGCTGGCAAGCTTGGGCGTCCTGCTCGGGACTCACACCGATTGCCTCCCCTGCCCCCAAATGCGGCCCCTCCCTTCCTGCTCCGACTGCAAGGACCCGGCCCCAGAGCCCGGTCTCTGCCAAATGGGCCTTTTGCGGTAATGCCGTCGGCATTCTCCATAAGGAGACCTTGGAGGAAGCAGACTTACATCTAGGGGCCATCGACCCGTGATGAGAATGACCGCCACCAAGGACGGAGCTGGACATCCCCGGGGTCCAGGCCCTTGTGAGGGCGGATGGGGTCGGCGAGGGCAGGCTCCAGACAGGGGAGGACAGGCAGGTGGCCTCAGTGAGCCGGGCCGGAGTGGGCTTCTTGGAAGAGGATGAGGCCTCTATGAACCCTGCTCCGTGTAGGACATTGTCCTCCAGCAAGTGAACAGGACGGGCCCCCAGGTCATGCAGAAGCCACGTGGGATGTTTCGGGGCTGCAGGGGTGCATTCCAGACCCTGCGATGAAAAAAATCAGCAGTATTGTCCCCTAGTCTGGATGGCCGTAGTCTGTCCACACCCGTGGGACAATTCCAGTAGTGAAACTTCCTTTTTTTTTTTTTAAGGTTTATTTATGTATTTGAGAGAGAGAGAGAGAGAGAAGGAGCGTGGTGGGGGGAGGAGCAGACAGAGGGAGAGAGTCCCAAGCAGACTCCGTGCTGAGGGTGGAGCCCGACACAGGGCTCAGGCCGGAGATCATGACCTGAGTCGAAACCAAGAGTCGGACGTTCAACCGACTGAGCCACCAGGCACCCTGAGAAGCTTCCTGAAGTCCTTTCAATCGGGTGTGTTGTTCTCTCCAGCTTGGCTGAGGTATGGTTGACAAGTAAAAGTTGCGTGTGTTCAAGGTAAACGTTAAATCCACGGACACGTTGTGGGGTGATGTCATTAGCCTGCCCGTCACCTCACTGCGTCCCATTCTGTGTGTGGGGGGTTGGGGCGAGGACCAGGGGTCTCCTCCTGGCCCAGGAGCAAGGCGACCTAACACACGCCTCCGGGGACCTTCTCCTCGGCGGCATGACTTTGCCGCTTCCCCTCTTGCTATGGGGTGACGTCCCTGTGGACGCAGGTGCCGGAGAGCCAGGAGCATCCACGGCCCTCCCTCAACTGGCCGCAAAGACATCCAAGTACCTGCACCAAGTACCTGACGTGCGTCTTCCCTGTTGGGTCGAGAATGAGCCCAGATGCCATCCAGGCAGAAAGCTTTGTGCCGTGGGTCTTCACGGGATCGGCAGGGAGGCAGCAAGGGGTGAACGCCGGCCACCGTCCTTCGCTTCCTTGAGGGAGGAGAGGGCCGGGTGTCAGTGAGGGGGAATGAGCGGGACTCGTGGATGTTAGCCACTCCCGCTAGAGAAATGCCTCGTCCCTTCCAACTGTGTACGGCTAATCGGTCCCAAATCAACACCTGGTAAAGGGGAGGGCGTGGGAGAGGACATCGGGCTCCCTGCGCAGACAGTACGGAACGTGTGTAAGTCCTGGGGGAGAGGCTTATGGCGATACGGTCCTGGGTCCTTGCAGCAGGGCCACCGCTCTGCAGGTCCCCGGAGACCCGCGGCCGACAGCCCCCTCGGGCCCTGCCCACTACGACCAGCGCTCCAAGGCAGCTTCGTGCTTGAGAAGCACACATAGGGCTCGGCCCCAAGGAGGAGGCCCAGCTCACTAGGAGACAGCGGGCCCGGGAGGCACCTTGCCACCGACGGCTCCTGTGGTCTCCCGCGCTGCCCCCCACCCCCCGGGTGTGGGTGCGAACAGTGAGGGACCCGCCCAAGTTCCTTCCAGTAACACCCACGTGGTGTCTTCCAGGACCCAGGGCACCCCATCCTCGGGGCTGGGGCGTTTACACCACCCAGGCACTAGGGAGGCTCTCTGGATGCTCCCGCCACAGGGACCACGGCGGAGCTCGGGGCGCCTGCCCCCCAGGACTGGCCGAGACACACGGGCCAGTACGACCGATCGTCCGTGAAGCAGAATCTTGGGGAGCAGAGCACGGTGTTTGAGGGATTTTCTGATGATCTGAGAGAGACAAAAGCCATGTGAGGTCACAGTCCTAGGAAGTCCTGTTTTTAAGGGTGTAGTTTTCCTGTTTCCTGCCTCAGGGAGAGGAGTGGTGCGTGGCGAGCTCATTCCGTTCGTGTTTCTCGCTGGGCTATCCACGTGTCTCCAAGCATTGCTGTTGTAATAATTTCCTTTTTCAAGAAAGGTGAAGTACCCAGAGATTTAAGGGCCACGAATGTGCGCTAAGCACGTGTCAGCCCACCCTCCGACGGGAGGGAGGCCGGGTGGAGCCTTCAGGGCGGTGGCCGGAAGGTGACAGTGACTCGCCAGCCCGGTCTTCTAGGTTTGTTGGCACTCACTTTGCCTTTTCACTTTGTTTACTTCAGTTTCTATGGACTGTCCCCTCCTTCGGCCCCACCATCAGTTTTGGGAATCTCACTGGGGGATCTGCAACGCCGGCGAAGGCCTCACCAAGTGTGAGCACCTGGGGAGGATCGCAGGGAGCTGAAGTTCCTAGATGTTGGCAGGGCTGCGCGTACCGGGGCGGGGGGGCCCCCGTGTGCTCTCGCGGGGCGGGGGGCGGCCCGGCGGGGAGGCGGACGAGCCCTGTGATGGGGAAAAGGTCCTGGTCGCTGGAGACAAGAGTCAGCGGCGAGGGGCCCAGGAGGAGCAACCTGGAGACTCAGGTGAGGAGGTGGCCGTGAACACCTGGGCTCCAGGAGGAGACCCACGGAGGACGGCTTTCAGGACGGGACGTCATTTGCAACCGCATTCCGCCTGTTGGTGGCTTTGAGAAGGGATGTAACGTACTCGGATCTGTGTTTTAGGAAGACGGCTCTGGTGTGGGTTCGAGTTGGGGGGACAGGGAGGGTGGGGGGACCTTGGTGTCTGCCCTCGGGCCTCCCGGCTCTGCCCCCGCCACACCCTGCCCTGCTTCCGCGGTGTCTCCACGTTGTGCAAACATCGGTCCCGTGTGAGCCGAGTGAGGACGGTCCCCAGAGCTGCACGAGCCTCAGGGCGGCCCGCCTGGGACAGAACGTGGGGAGGACAGGGACTGGGCCCGTCATACGTCAGAGCCGGGTGGAGGCTTTGCTGATGAGGGAGGCAGAGTGACTGCCACGCCCAGGGCTTGCCGTCCGGGACAATCGGTGTGTCGGCCAGAACTGGGAAAGTCGCAGGAGGGACTCATCCCCGGGGAAGCCATCAGGGCAGGGTGTGGCGTGCCAGGTGTGGGCTATCAGGAGACAAGGAGCGCGAGTCCCCGTTTCAGTTCTGAATGAGATAAGCAACAGGTTGGGAATAGCAGGTGGCTGCGCGATAAAGCCTGGGGGGCGTGCAGCTCGGCTGAGAGGACACACCTGGCAGCGAACCCGAGTCCGGTGGCTCCGTGTGCTGCAGGTGGGGGGGGGGTGGCGCGTGCTGCGGGGACCAGGGGATGCCGATGTGAGCACCTGTTAATACCCCCAGGTGCATCAGCCAGATGCAGGGCGAGAGGCCAGGGGGACACCTGGCCATGGGGCATCCCCGAGACCCCTGCTCTCCTCATGCTGCCGTGAGGGCGGAGGGGCAGCAGGGCAGGCAGGGGGGGTTTCAGGGAGCGCTGTGCGCCAGCGGGCAAGCTAGCCCACAGGGATCACTGGAGGGACACCTTGTCCCTGGAGGGGTGAGGAGGGCCCGGAATCAGAGTCCCGATGCAGATTTGGGCAGGAAGCCCCGGAGCCCTCGGTGATGGAGGTGGGAAGAGGCCCGGAAGCGCCTGGGGACGGGAGCGGTCAGGAGGAGACAGGAGATCTCCGGGCCCGGCTGGCCTGCTGCGGCTCCTCCACACATCGCACTGGATCCGGGCTCAGAGGAGCTCCTAAACGCGCTGACTTCTTCCACAGGGGATGCCGGAGAGAAGGGAGACAAAGGCGCGCCCGGACGGCCTGGAAGAGTCGGCCCCACGGGAGAGAAAGGTACCTGCCGCCCCTCGGCCCCGCCACCCGGCTCTTCTCAGCCCCTCCGCCTTCTGCCCAAGAGGCACAGCCGGTGCTCCGGCTCCCGCAGGTCCACAGGTGGGGGGGGGTGCGGGGATCCGAGAGGAATCTGACACCGTGTCGTGAGCCAGGGCGCAGAGAGGGCGCCTCGCCCTCCAGGAAGCCCCCCGCGTCCTGGGAGCGGCACGTAGCGGGGTGGTCACGTGCATGCAAACCGGCCCAGACCCTCTGCAGCCTCACCTGCAGCACGGGGGTCATTTGTGAGCGTTACCTATACGTGCAATTGAGAGGGTGTGCAAGAAAGTCTGGAGGGGTGGCGCAATTATGGAGAGGTGCAGACAGTGTTGGAGGTGTGCCTAACGTCGTGGGCGTGTGCAAGCAGTTGAGGAGGCGTGCGAGCAGTGATGGGGGTGTGCGAGTGCACAGTGATGTGCAAAAATTGATGGGGGTGTGCGAGCAGTTGAGGCATGCAAGCAGTGACGGAGGCGTATAAATAGATAAGCAGGTGTGCAAGCAGACAAGGAGGCGTGCAAAGGACCGGGTGGGTGGAGTCGGTGGGGTGTGGGGTGACATGGTGCTGGGGGCACCTGTGGTCCCAGACCCTATGTGCTGAATCCGTTTCCTTCTCCATAAAAGCGCATTTCTCCATCTGCCCGGGGGCGCGGGGTCCCACGGAAAGAGACTGTACAGGCCACGGGGCCGTGCAGTGGACGTTGAGGCGCTCGGTCAGCGTCCGCAGTCTGCGCCCCTCGTCACGCCGCCGCCCTCCGACTGGCCCCGGCCCACCCCTAAGGCCCGAGAGCGAGTCTCCAGTGTCCAGTCACTGTGACAGCGCATGGAGAGGCCACGGAGCGTAGATATCCAGGCCCACGCGCTGTTTTGTCACCTCCTGGAGATCCAAGTACGGACCTTCTCCTCTGACGTCCGAGCGACAGGTCGGACTGTGCGCACGGGGACCGCTTGTCCCCTCTCGGGCCCAGGGCATTTCTCTTGCCACCCTCCGCTCGCCCCCGTGACATTTAGTTCTTGTTTTCCTCTTTACTCACAAAAAGATCAATTAAAAATTTCAACAAACTCTCCTCCTAGCTCAAAGTTCGCCGGATATAGAAACAGCTCGAGTGGGTGCTCCCCTCCCGGCCCCAGCTCCCTGGGACCCGCCCCACCCACCGCCCTCCTCTGTGGGGTGCACTACTCTTTACGGGGGTGGCTCATGCATCAGCAGGCAGGCTGCGGTCCTCCCCGCCCTTGGGTACGACCTCCTGCACCGCGTCCGGATGGGCCTGTCGCCCTGGTTCACACGACAGTCCGCCCCGGGGATCATCCTGCGGGAGCAAGACATGTGTCCCTCATCCTCGTGCGGTCCTGCTGCTCCGTGGGGAGCGTCCACTGCTCTCCTATCCCGGGACAGGGGCCCCCCCGCATCGTTAACCGGCAGGGTAAGTGCCGGGCAGCGTAGGTGCCAGAACACGCGCGGGGGCGCTGCAGATGCGGGTGGATGTGGCCCCTGGAGGTGGAGACACAGGACTTGGGGACTTAGGGCAGCTGCCAGGCCGGGGGCAGTGACGTGGCGCCGGAGGGCTGACCTCAATGCTCTCGGGACCACCGCAGGACAGTCACTGTCGGGCATTCAGGGTCATTTGAGTTCCTTTTCTGTCCTTTGCTTCTTCTCTTTCTCCTCCTCCTCCTCCTCCACCTCCTCCTACTCTTTCTCCTCCACCACCTCCTCCTCCACCTCCTTCTCCTCCTCTACCACCTCCTCCTCCACCACCTCCTCCACAACCTCCACCTCCTCCACCACCACCTCCTCCTCTTCCATCTTCTCCTCCTCTTCCACCACCATCTCCTCCTCCTCCACCACCTCATCCTCCTCCTCCTCATCCTCCTCCACCACCACCTCCTCCTCCTCTACCACCACCTCCTCCTCCTCCTCCTCCTCCTCCTCCTCCACCACCACCACCACCTCCTTCTCTTCCATCTTCTCCTCCTCCTCCACAACCTCCACCTCCTCCTCCACCACCTCCTCCTCTTCCATCTTCTCCTCCTCTTCCATCTTCTCCTCCTCCTCCACCACCATCTCCTCCTCCTCCACCACCTCCTCCTCCTCCTCCTCATCCTCCTACACCACCACCTCCTCCTCCTCTACCACCTCCTCCTCCTCCTCCTCCTCCTCCTCCTCCACCACCACCTCCTCCTCTTCCATCTTCTCCTCCTCTTCCACCACCATCTCCTCCTCCTCCACCACCTCATCCTCCTCCTCCTCATCCTCCTCCACCACCACCTCCTCCTCCTCTACCACCTCCTCCTCCTCCTCCTCCTCCTCCTCCTCCACCACCACCACCTCCTCCTCTTCCATCTTCTCCTCCTCCTCCACAACCTCCACCTCCTCCTCCACCACCTCCTCCTCTTCCATCTTCTCCTCCTCTTCCACCACCATCTCCTCCTCCTCCACCACCTCATCCTCCTCCTCCTCATCCTCCTCCACCACCACCTCCTCCTCCTCTACCACCTCCTCCTCCTCCTCCTCCTCCTCCTCCTCCACCACCACCACCTCCTCCTCTTCCATCTTCTCCTCCTCCTCCACAACCTCCACCTCCTCCTCCACCACCTCCTCCTCCTCCTCCTCATCCTCCTACACCACCACCTCCTCCTCCTCTACCACCTCCTCCTCCTCCTCCTCCTCCACCACCACCTCCTCCTCTTCCATCTTCTCCTCCTCCTCCACCACCATCTCCTCCTCCTCCACCACCTCATCCTCCTCCTCCTCATCCTCCTCCACCACCACCTCCTCCTCTTCCATCTTCTCCTCCTCCTCCACCACCTCCACCTCCTCCTCCACCACGTCCTCCTCTTCCATCTCCTCCTCCTCCTCCTTCTTTTTTGGTTGTCTTTTTCTATCTTAAAAAAAATCCTTATGGGTTCTTTTTCTTCTTGATATGTAAGATAGTTTCGTACTTATATTTTCTGTGCGTGTCTCTGAATAGTTCCTTAGTTAAGTTGCCAGAAGTGGAATTAGGAACTTTAAAAAGGCTATCTGCACATTCATTCTTACGTTGGTCCGTGTACTTCCCGCTAAAAACAATCTTCCCGTGTTTTCAGGAACACTCTCCATCCGTGTGCTGAGCAAATGCAGGAGGGAGTGAGGCGGGGGCTCTGCTCCTGGGGCCCCTGCGAGAAACAACGAGGTAGTGGCTGTTGGGTAGAAGCCAGCCAAGCTGACTCAGGGAAGGGCTGACCGGGGCCGGCGGGGCGGGCTCTGCGGTCTGCTTACTCCGTGGGGTCCGTCTTCCCATCTGCGGTGCTGGAACTGCTTCACAAAGTCCTTGGGTTGGGATAAGTAAAAGTATCTCAGAACTAATTAGTGCTTGCAGTTTCTATCTTATTATTATCCTTCTTATGAAAGTGGGAAGTGCTGTGATATATTGTCTTATTTTATTACTGAACTAATTATGAAATTTGCACAACGGTAAAAGGGGATGTTCCTCTACTTTTCTGTGTGGGTGATTTTATACTTTGCAGTCAGGAAGTGGATAGCCCCCCTCCTCCAGACAGTCACAAATTCATTTCACGATCATATTTCATCGGTGTTTTTTCAAAGTAGCGATGTTTGAGCTCAGCAAGCAAGTGGCAGTAAAGTCCTACCTTCATTAAGCAACTGCCTTGCTTCAAATTTTTCCAACATACGCTTGTGATAAAAGTTTATATATACCTGAAGTGGTGAGAAAATCATCCACAATAAAATCATCCAGAGATTGCCACTTAATTTAGTATATTTCCTTTTTGGTGCCTTTCCCCCCTGCTTTGTTCTAATTGTATTGTTCACATAAATTTGCATCTTATTTCTTAAATTTAATGTCAAATTTCAATGTAACCATTTTTCATGCTGTGAAGCCACTTTAAATGGATGCCCAAGGGGATCCCTGGATGGCTCAGCAGTTTGGGGCCTGCCTTTGGCCCAGGGCATGATCCTGGGTCCCAGGATGGAGTCCCACCTCGGGCTCCTGGCATGGAGCCTGCTTCTCCCTCCTCCTGTGTCTCTGCCTCTCTCTCTCTCTCTGTCTATCATGAATAAATAAATAAACAGATCTTAAAAAAAAAAGATAAATGGATGCCCAATATCCACTAGTAACTTAAAATCCCAGCGCCGAGGGCCTGTTCTAGTGTGGAGGCCTCCGTGGGGCTAGGGTGCGAGAGACCGGCCTGGCCCCTGCTGTTCGCAGCCCCAGGCCAGCAGTGGCCAGGTCGCCCGGTGCGACTCCCTGGACACGCCAGGCCCCGCGTCAGCGAGCGTTGGGGCCGTCAGGGCTCTGGCACCGCCGCTGACGAATGAGCAGCTTTGGCTTGGGGTTTCGCGAAGTGCAGATTACGGAGAACACGGCAACCCAAGCGCGTGTGTTTGGATGACTGAGTAGTGGCAGCAGTTATGCAGAAATGTAGGAAGTATCCTTTTTTGGGTGATTTTTAAGAAGATCGGCCATAGCGTGACACATGGAAGAGGATAAAACGGGATACAAGAACAGACACGTGACTCATTAAAATATTCACAAAGAGACACAGAGAAGGGATGGAAAAGAAACCAAAATATTAGTAGTAGGTATTTCTGGGCTGTAGGATTATAGGCATGTAAAGTTTTCTGTCTCACTCCTGTGTTTTTGGTATTCTCGGCAAGGGCATGTGCTAATTTTCGATGTCAGCACGTATTTATAACCGGAGGCACGGACGCCCCACACGCTGACGCTGGGCTCGGGGTCCCGCTGGCTGTGCAGAGCTGTGGGCCACCTCGGAAGTGTCACCCCCCGCCCCCCGGCAGGAAAGCTCCCAGGAAGGATGGCCTCAGCTCCCGTGGCCTCCGCGGACCCCGCTGGGCTCCCGTTTCAGCCCGAGTCAGTTTTATTTTGCGATGGTTGTTCCTACCAGTGATACTCTATGGAATTGTTGGAAGACTACAGCTCCTGTTTCTTCTCTGGCTGGCGTATAATCAG